TTCGTAATTCCCGACTTAATAGTTTGCCCGTCAAAATTTTCACGAAGCCGTAGGTGATACTCAAGAGCGCGGGAACGCTGAATTTGAATAGGTAAGGTTGAACGTGGGCAGGGGGTCAATACCCTAAAATTTCAGCCTCTCAGACTCCGTGGTTCCCGAGATATTAATTCACCAGTAAAAAACTTTCACGGGGCCATACGTGTTATCCGCGGGTACGGGGAAGCTGAATTTAAATTTGCGGGGTCACGCATGGGTGGGGAACGTTTTCTTAAATTTTCAGCTTCCTAGCTTTTGTGGTTCTCGAGATGAAAGTTGCAGACAATTTGCTGCGGACACACACACACAAACACACACAGACAACCCCGTGATAATATGCGTTTTGTACTGCTGCTACACGACACAAAACGCATAAAAAACTACTGACCTGAAGATAAGCACCATAGTGCCCGCGTTTGGCAATAAGTTGCGGACAGCCCAAGTTCAAGTCGACACCATCGCAAAGGCCCTCGACCAGTTGACAAGCAGACAACAGAGTTAGCGGATCATTGGCACAGAACTGCACAATCAATGGCCGATCGTCCCTGCACGTTGACAGCGCCGTACGTCGATAAGTGGCATCGGTTACGAACAGATGCGCATGGATCATTGGCGTGAAACAGAGCTGAGCGCCATGCTGCCGAAGCATCATGCGAAAAGCCAGCTCACTGAAAGTGCATCCTATTTTCTTTTTCATCCTTCTTACCGAATCTCACAAGTCCCCTTCAACATGGCGAAATGGGGCACTGTACTGATGATTCTCACCCCATTTCGCAGCGATTCAGCCGTCAGTGTTTACAGCTCAGGGATGAAACACAGACACGTCACCTAGTTTAAATACCGGTTTGCTCACGTGGGATAGCTAAACGGTGCTTTTGGGTTTCACTAAATATTAAAATTCGACTATTTTTCTCATTGTAGGCCTATACTGTAACCAAATTACACATGCAGGTGCATGGTACGTCTCTACCCCGTCTTCTTCCAATCCTCTAATGCTGTTAATTTGATTATTTTCATTAGCAATTTCAGTAGCATTCCAAAAAATTTTTCCAGTACTTCTTAAAGAACTCAAAATATTGGGGGTGCCTCCGGTCTTTTCCGGGAAGAAAGTCCGTGGGTCCTTTCGTCTGCTTATATATTCATCAAATGCCAGCACTCTTCAAAATACTGTGCCAAATTTAGGAGGTAGTTCGAAAAAAAAATCCTGCGAAATTCGCTCTTCCTTTTCTTTTTCACTTTCTCGGAGTCTCATTTCACATGTTTAATAAATGCCCGAAAACATAGGGCAGAAAGGCAGCACTGATGTGGTGCAACAGGCCGAGAGTTTTCGACTCCGCCGGCGGTATAACCAATCTCTCTACGATTCGTTCATACCTGTTTCGAGGTAACTTTGTACTGGCAATTTGCCAGCAGCTTGCTTCTAAGCAACTCTCGAAAGAAGGAGACATCAACAGCCTAGCCAGCGGGCAATTGTTGTTGGCATTTGCTACCGATCGAGCTACCTCTCGAGTGTCTCCGTCTCACACACTGTGAATGAATGCAGAGGGTACCACGCGGGTAACATCGCCCCTTTTGGG